TTTGTGTTTAGAATTGTATTTTGCTACTTACGTGATTATAACAATCTGGCTGGTGACACATGATGAATCTGTATTCATGCTTTTACTATAGAAAATTGGCCAAACACTCTAGCCTCATTAATCATATCTTAGTTTTTGGTGATAGAACGTTCTATATCTTCTCTGTACCTTCAGAAATTTCATCTTTTCAACCTTTTGGAAAAATAAAATAAAATTAAACATCCAGCTTAAGAGAACGGGAAGAAACTACAAATTAAACCTTTTAAATTTAAGTAGCTAACAAGCTAAGCTAATTAATTCTAATAGCCAGCCAACTAAGATGGTAAAAAGATTCATAATTATTAAGTTTAAAGTTTTCAAAATAAGAGGGTTCTTTTGCTACGTGTCAATAATGACGACCATTTACAAAATTATTCCCCCTTCAAAATAGTTTGTCACAGTTTGTAAATATCAAATCGACCACTAAATCAAATCCGAATTTATTAGATTATGGCTATTGGGTTATTGATTAATGGATTTCTAATAATCTTATAAAAATAATTTATTGGATTATCAGTTCCATTTTGATTTTTAATATTGGATAAATCAATAATTCATTAATTATTGTCTTTTTTATTTTACTATACCAAAACATTTCCAGCTGATTTTGCTTGTTTTACTTAGTCATGCCAAATTAGAAAAGTGAAAAGTCATATATAAGCATTTTCTTAATGGACAAAGTAAAAACTGAACCATTAAAGATCACAACCAAAAACTGATAATTTCTTTATTAACCGATTATTAATTTTAGGACTGTTCCAAATCAAATCGAAATTAATAAGCTGAATCGATAAAAAAGTTATTGATTTATAATATCGGATTAGTGGTTTAGTGATTGTGATAACGGTATTAATTTTTTTGTTATCGGATTATTGATTCTTAACGATTTAAAATTTTTTCTTAATGAATTAATCGATAACCCGATAGTAAATTAAGTAATTATAATTATATCATTTTGTGTATAAAGTTCTCGACTTAGAGTTTAATTTGCTATTTTTATTTTTGATTGTCTCAAACACTTGATTATTCTACAACGTAAAAGTGTTTGGTTTTTAAGCAAGATATAACTTCTGAACTCAAATGCATGGTTTATATTTGATTTGTCACATTGTTTCTAAGTGATTTTCAAAACTTTTTTTTTTGTCAAATCTTAACGGTTAAATCAATAACTAAACCGATAACAACCAAAAACCGATAAATCAATAACCGATAACCCAATATCTTAATGGTTCTATAACGATTTAACAACTCTACAAACCGATAACCAATAATCCAACCTGATAGACTTCAAAACCGAACCGAACGATACACGGTCCTAATTAATTTAGCACATTTAACAATAAAAATTGATAAACTCAACTAATAATATATAGAATCGAACCAACCCAATTTATGCATCTCATCGCATCTACTTTTCAAGAGTAAATTAAGATAATTTCGATTACACATTGAAATTCAAATATTAAAAGACTAAACGCAAAATACTACAGGCCAGGTATCTATATAACCAAGGAAAAATTAGAAGACAAATGCATAACACTCCATTAGTAACAAGTGATACATAAAAATTAATAAAGTAAAAACAGGTAGAGAGCAAAATCATATTTGGTACTAATGTAGAAGCAACCATCACCAAAACCTCAATGCATATTAATAAAGAGATTCATTACACAAAAAGTAAACAACACTCTGACAGAGGTCGCCGGAGCAAAACCATCGCCGGTAGCCATCGCCGGTGAAGGTGCAATATTCTCCGATGCCAAGTCTTGAGCCTCAGACATCTCCAAAACAACTACCAAAACTAGTACAACATAAATATAGAAAAACTTAAGGCAAGCCATTGATAACATAACAAAATATTTATTTTTTTCAATTTATTTATTTTTAGTAGTAGAAAAAAGATTGGAGAAAAACAATAATATTTATAGCGAAGAAAAAAAAGGCATAGATTCTGTTTATACTTTATTGCATGTATGCCATTTGTCTAGGGGAAATTTTGTTTTTGAGAAATGGTGTTATTTTACTGTAGGATAAAAGTTTGACACGTTTTATTCAATCATCAAATTGAATTTATGCTATTTTTTAAAATTTTTTTTGGCTTTTCGTTGTTCTTTTTCGAGATTGAATTATTTCAAATGTGGACACATATATATAATCGATCCTATTACCATTATATTCGATTGACACATATATATAATCAATCTTATTACTATTATATTCAATTGAACACACAGTATAAATTTATTTTTCGTCTAATCATATTCTTTACAGAAAAAAAATGTATTTTTTGTTTTTGTGAATTTAAACACGATAATTCACCTTGATCTCATTGATGATTTTGAGATTGTTCGATATTAATATAAATAAACGCAAAAATAATGAAATGCAGTTAGCTGGATATGTCACAGGAAACAACAATAATAAACCACAAAATAATGATTTTATTTTGTTGGTGATGATAAATAGTACACAATGATGTATCCATAATATCTTTCCCTTTCTCCACCAAGACCTGTAATCTCCTTCAATTCTTCATCCCCTTCCTTTTTTATTTTTTTCATTCTAATTACAATCAAACCTCATTATTTAAATCGTCTTTTGATTTCTATGATAAAATAATGTTATAGAAAATTATTTAATAATTTTTCTAATCGTTATATATAGAGATGATTGTTTTAGAGAAATTTAATATTATAATTTAGTGCATGTAATACGCGAAGTAGGATAATAAAGTAGCCCCGGCTAAAGTTGCCACGTGGGGCAATGACGCCGTAGCAGCAGATATATCATTAGATGGGGCCGGGGCAGAGGCTGGAGAAGAGATTGGGGCCGAGGCTGGGGGCAATAGTTGAGCCATAGCCGAACCAATTGAGGCAGCTACGATGAGGGTGACAGAAGCGATCTTCTTCATCTCCATATCTTTTTAAAAATAAATAAATAAATGATAAATTATTTTTTGAATTTTTTTTTTTGGTGAATTAAATGTGACTGGGAAGAGGGTTATATATAATATGTATTGGTACAATTTGAACCACATTTGGGTATTTATGGCTAGAGTGATTTTAGGGTTATTGTTAGAAAATAATGATAAAGATTTTAAGGGTTCTCAATTTTCTTTTTCTTTTTCTTCTTCTACAATTTAGCATTTTCTTGTTAAGTTTTGGTTTGTTGCAAATTTGAAAATATTTTGACTTTTTTTTTTATGCTTATGCTGAAAGAGTGATATGTTGATGGTTGTATTATTTCTTGTTCTTTTAAATTTTTGTTGTATTGTATTAAGTTTTTTTTTTAGTTGTATATGATATTTATAGTAAAAATTTCAGTTCATGGTAATAAAAGTCATTCATTTAATCCATATTATAATGAATTACATCAGTTTTATTTTATCAGTTCGATAAATATAGATTTCAATTTATTCTTAATTCATAAAAATAATGGATAACATGTGAGTATTCATATACAAACTCATTTTTGTAAATAGGAGAAAATCTTTTCCTTGAGAAAACATTTACTAGATCAATAAAATGCACACGAACGCCCAACCCAACTCCTCGCACTACCAACCCTCCCCCTACCTACCTATCTCCACGTACTCCTTAACTCATGGCATGTTCCTGAGTCAGGGTTGGAGTCACGAACGAATCCTAAATTAAGGTTGAATCAAAAATTGGAATTGGAGCTCGAGTAGAGATCGTGGTCATGGGCTCGTGGTTCCCATGAAAATTATATCTCGATTAAGAATTAGGTTAGGGTTAAGATCGAGGTTATATCTCATATTGAGATAGGGTGCCAAGTTGAGATAAAGATTGAAATTGAGGCTAGATCTCAAATTGAGATCGAGGTCAGAATTGATTAAGTAAGGTCCTAGGTGATTAATATGGATTAGAACAATCCATCCAATTCATAAATTTTATCCATATTTATTTGGTGCATTGCAATTCATTTATCCATTTTCAATCCACACAAGTTTAATCCAATCCGTCTATTTGCCGCCATGATATTATATATATTATCATTACTTATCATATTTATTTTAAAAAAGATTGTTTCCTCGGCCAGGTATTAAAAGGATTCATTTCTCTCTTATTATAGATATAGATTAGAGTGTAGACATACTATGGTGGAATAGGGTGTAGACATATTGTCATCACATATTTGGTAATTTATACATGAAATTGATTAAAAAAGTTTTCATTTAGTTTAAAGGAAAACGAAGGAGGGAAGCGGCAGGTGAAAAATAGGATTTTTTGTTTTCTTTAAAGAGAGAGTTTAAATAACTGTTTAAGTGGTGTTTTGTGATTTTGATAGGCACAAATAGGTTCAAAAATCAAATTGTTTGTGTTAGTAAGAAATGGCAATATTAGTCTAGATTAGGGACAAATGCTTGTCAGTCTGTTAACCACATGGGTAAGATTGACCAAACTTTAAACAAAGACCCTATTTAAAATTGTAAAAATTAAAGGAATCACATGGACAATTTTGATCTTAATTCAAGAACTATATTAAAAAATATTCACTTGTAAACGTATTGCAGTATTAAATGCAAATAATTGCTCATATCTTATTACTCCACTAGTTATTAACTAAATTATCACAGGACTAACATTATGCAAGCATAGTTTTTTTAAGATAGTACGAGACTAAGAGTCCAAGACCATATAAAATACACTTTTAATTTATTGTTTCCAGACTGTTTAATTAACATAATACTATAGTATACTATAGCCTAAAGCTTCAAAGCTAATGAATTTGAAACAAGTTCCATCGATATTCAATTAAGTGCCCTGGAAGATTCGAGCCAACATGAATCTTCTTCAATAACAATATATTTATCTATCATGAATCACATGGAAAAAAACTACTACGTAATAAATAAAAAGGGGTCAGCTTGCTATGAAAAATGCAAGTGATAACTAATTTCATCCAATGCATGTATATCTGTAGAAGTTGAATGAAATTCATTGAGTGGAAAATAACAAATGGCAAAATTCATGGCATTGCTTATGATCATGGCTTTATCTTATTTTACAGCTATAGCAAATTCACAGGTGAAGAACATTTTCTTACTAGCTGGACAGAGCAACATGTCCGGCCTAGGAGGCGTCGTTAATAACACATGGGATGGTATAGTTCCGCCGGAGTGCAGCCCAAATCCGGCCATCCTCAAACTTGATGCCAAACTTCAATGGGTGGAGGCAACTGAACCTTTACATGCAGATATCGACGCGAATGTTACTTGTGGGATTGGTCCAGGTATGTAGAGGGGGATTTAAATAGATTAGACTCGCTCTGGACATGCAAACTATAAATTCTAGATTCGTCTGTGCAGGTATGCCCTTTGCAAATTCTTTGTTGAATAAAACTTCGTTTCTGGGGGAAATAGGGTTGGTACCATGCGCGATGGCTGGGAACAGAATCAGTCAATGGCAAAAGGGGACTTTCCTTTACAATCAGTTGGTGATGAGAGCCAAGGCTGTTGCAGTGCAAGAATGTGGGGTAACTAGAGCTATGCTTTGGTATCAAGGGGAGAGTGACACAACATTACTGAGTAATGCAAATGCTTATAAAGGAAAAATGCAGCAATTTTTCACTGACTTGAGAAGTGATGTTGGGATACCAGATCTTTTGATTATCCAGGTAAACTTTAATTCGGTACTCCCTCCATTTCAATAATTTGTTTTTCTGGTTTTGATTTGATAGAGTTTAAGAAAAAAAATAATGAAGACTTCTGAGTCTTGCAGTCTCAAACTAAATATATGTAGAATGTACCAAATGTTTCTTAATCTTGTGGTCTTAACATATCATTGGGAATTGAAAAGTACCATAAACGGAAAAGATTCTTTCTGAAACGGACTAAAAAGGAAAGTTAGACAAACAAATTGAAACGGAGGAGTAACTCTTACTGCAGGATCATCTAAATGCTGTATATTTTCAAAATGGAGCATATATGTGTGTGTGAAAATCCACTAAAATTTCAACAAATATTAGATTTTGAGCTCATGATTATAAGAACACAATAAGTTCTCCATCACAATATGAGTTCAGTCAGGAATCAGTTGCATAGTTATTAGTAATCCTTACTTGTCTACGCTTCTTTTGTTCAAACTTGTGTAGGTGGCTCTTGCTTCAGGAACAAATTACACAGATATAGTAAGAGAAGCACAGTTAAATCCTGACCTTGCTAATGTAGTAACTGTTGATGCGAGGGGCTTGGAGTTGCATAAAGACAATTTACACCTTACTGCTTCTTCCCAAGTCCTCCTAGGACACATGATGGCTGATGCTTATCTTCAAACAATCTCAACCACATCCTAATCTATTCATTAGTCAATAGTGAAAGAAAATTTCAGTTATTTTCTCAACATGTGAAACAAGTGTTAACATTCAAAAAGGAAAAAATGTTCAATACTCTGTAATGTAATCATAAAACAGTATGCTATCATTTTTTCATGTTTCAATTGTTCAAGTAAAAACAAGGGAAGTGTAGTTTTATCCATCCAATGATCCAAGAGGCCGGGTGTCAATTTTCAATACATAAAAGTGCCAATCTCCTTGAACATAGAAATTACAAAAGGGAAGATGTTTTTAATAAATGCAGCATGATTTGTAGTTACGTTCCTTTGTAATATCAAGTCCTTTATCTGAGAAGTTTAGAGCAAGTGTATAATCGATAATTACACTGGAGCTATGTAAGAAAAGGAGAAGTAAATTGTAAAAACAAAAGAATCATCCCGTTAAAGGGGGGGTTGTTTGGTTGTTGGTTACAAAGGAAATTATTCATATATTGAAGCTAGCATAGTCAATACCATATTTGGTAGGTTTTAGTTGCTTTGTATAGAATTTAGCACACCAGGTACCGTGTTTTGTTACTATTGTTACAATCCCACATGTATAATTTATGAGTAAATTTATTTATCATATAATGCAGGGTAGTAAAATAGGATAACTAATACATGACTAATGAATCTCTACCTTACTACCTGCATAACTCTAACCAGTAACCAGGTGGCTTCTGCATCCTGTTCCCTTGCCAAAATTTAGAACAAAATCACTTACAATCGTTGGGTCTTAATCTCTGGATCATGTCGAGTAGAGAACATTCAGCTGAAGGTACATTTATCAGCAGCTGAAATGTATGTGCATTAGGAGAGAAACCCTTATCAACCATTTCCTGCAAAGGTGGAAATACCTCATGTAACTTATTCCTTTTAAGAAATCCTTGCAAAATAAAATCACAAACAAAAATTTTTGGGTGAAAGACCATTTTGTTCCATTTTCCTCATCAAATCTTTTGCTTCGTCTAGCAAACCCTCCTGGCATAGGCCATTTATCATTGTTTTGTATGACCTCACGTTGACATGTAAACCATCAGAACACAATTATTGAATATATCTTGAGGAATATCGAGCTTGCCTTTTTTGCACAATCCAGCAATAACAACATCATACATGAACAGCTGAGGCCAACATTCTTCCTTTCCAGTTCTTGAAGAAACACCAGAGCTTCTTCAGCATGTCCATTCTTGCACAAACCATCTAGCATGATACAATAAGTGTGATTGTGAGTATTCGGTTTGAATCCTAAACACACAACTCAATCATACATCTTTGTGCATGGGAGAATCTCCCTGCTCGAAATAATCCCTGCAATACAGTACTGGTGTATGTTACAGTTCCAGGTTTTAATTGTTTTAGAGACGTTTCTCTCACAAGATCTATGCCTTTGCCTATTTTCCATTCTTTTGCAATAACCATTGATTAATGTTAGGTTGAACACCGCTCTGAACCACCGAATAAACACTTGTTTTGCTTCATGTAACCAACCTTGCAAACAGTAACCATCTATCAATGTGTTATATGCAACTACATTAGGATCAAAGCCCTTTTATATAATACATTCCATGATAGCTTTGGCGTCTTCCGACCTACCTTCTTTGCAAAACACATCAACTAATATATTATAGCTATACACATTTGGATACACACCCTGATGGATCATCTGATTCAATAGCTTTCTTAACTTCCTTCTTCCCATCGGCCAAAACTACAAATACCTTGAATAATTGAACTATATGTAATAATATCAGGATAAATCACTTTCTCAGTCATTCTAGTGAAAAGCTTATGCGTTTAATCTACCATTCAATCTTTGCAAAAGCTGTCAATTAAGGTGTTATAAGCTGCAATGTTCGGTTCGCGATTCCCTAAATTAGTAATTTCTTTAAAGAGATGAATAACAACAGAGTATTATTTTTTTTTTTGAATCTTCGTAACTATACCTTCACCAATTCAGTGAACGCCTTAATCGATGGCGGAGATCGGTAAACTATCATTCGACGGAATAAAGCAACAATTTCATCAATATTCTTCCCAGTTATATGCTTAGAAACAAAATTTTGTAGCGAGGCAGATCATGTTAAAGCAATTTTAGAGCTAGTGTGAAAAGAGAACTTACTGAAACCTAACGGATTTTCAATCAGAAAATGCTTCCAGATCGCAGATATGGCTCTTCTTTGCAGCTATTAGTTGGGGCGAAACTCAATCACCGGAGAAAAAAAAGAAGCTATTCATCGTTCTCCGATCTCCGGCTACTAGGAATTTTTTTTTATCAAACAGAAGTGTTGGTGCAAATTATACGTTAAAATTAGTTGATTTTTTTTAAAAAAAAAATAATAATCTCTTGAATTTCTGTATTTCTTTCGTAATTACGTTTTTAGACTTGTCTCAAGTAAGATTAAGGTTAAACAAAAGTACTTTTAATAAAAATAAATAAATTAGGGAGTAGTAAATATTCATAAAGTATGAACATGTTATTCAAATTCATCATAGTTTAGAAGTCTATGGTAAAAGTTTACTTCTGTCGTCTCAAATTATTTGAGGTGACATAATTATTATTCTTAGTAGTAATTATATTTGAAAATTATAAATATAACTTATATTTTAAAATAGTGATAAAAAGTTCTAATCAGGAGTATTAGATTTCTTTGGTTCAATTTGTTTGATCTATTTTATCTTGATAAAATTTATTAATATATAAAATACTTTTAAATCTTATAATCTTAAATTAAAGATATCACAAATATATCAAAATATTCATTAATTTTAGATGCCACATAAAAATTTAATATAAAACCGTCACTAAAAATAAAAAGTTATTCTTTTGAATGGGTAAAAGAAAATAATGAGCTTATATATCATAGTAGAGTAAGTTATAACTCATTATTGGGTAAATGATATGAAATAGCAAACTATTAATTTAAATTAATTGTTATAGTCATAATTTATTTTATTTGTAATTCACAATAAACATTTTGTTTTTTTGTCACCATATTCGTTATACAATTAGACATTTTCGATATATAATTACCTATTTGGTATACAAATGTATAAAATGTGTTTGCGTTTGTATAAAGCGAGAAAAAATATATATACATATACAATACATATATTTTTATTTTATATACTTATAATTATACAAATACTGATCTTATTATATAAATGAATATCTTATCATACAAATTATAATGTATAAATAAATTTATACAAAATTGTACAATTTATATAAAATTGAATATATCTAGCGAATTATACAAATTAAAATTTTCATAACAAATATACGATTTATTGTGAAGCACAATTATAAAAACTGTGCCTATAATATATAAATATATTTTTTATATTTGTTATAGGTAAAAGATGCTCATTATTATATGTGAAATAGTCAGCTTAGCAGAAGAAAAAGAAATGCATTTAAAAACTAGGTGTTGTTGATGTATTTTAAATTAGAGTTTAAAATTAGAAATGAGATTTGCATGTATTTTAAATTAGAAATTTGCTAGTATGACATGGGAACATAAATTCAACTTTTCTATTGCCTGGTATGTTCTTCTTTGGCTAACAATATTCTAGCCACCCATTAATTATATTCATACTTAGTCGTATGTGCAAACATCCTCTTCCTCCAATAATTTAAATTATGGTTACACCAAATATTTATATCGAATTAACATATACATGATGTGTCTAAACTGTATATAAGTTTGTTAATTACGTATATTTTAATTTTAAGTTATTTAACAATGGTATGATAGCATTGATTTAGACAATGTAATTAGAAGTGTGGGCCACAATATAATATTTGACATTCAAAGAAAGAGAACTCAATGAGGTTAAAAATAAACTATCAAACGAATGCGATGCAATGAAGAAAGTTGTTTTTTTCTTATTTAGAGATTTCGAGCTTTTAATATAGCTTTTTTTTTAATAGAAAGCATTACTTTTTTGAACAAGTCCTATCCAATGCGAATCCTAATATCAAATAGAAAGAATGAGCTTAAAAAAGCCTTAAGAAAGCAGGCTTTTCCTAAGTTAATTAAAGAAACACAAACTTGCAGTACTACTCATGGCACATACATTACATTTAAATAAAATGCAACGTGCCTTCAAATATATATCCATCTAAAATAAATTACTCATTACAACTTATTATCACAGGGTTGACATTATGCCTGAGAATTTTTTACGTATAGTTGAGAGAACAAAATCATATAAAATATTCACTTTTATTGTTTCTGGACTGTATTTAACATAATATATACTATAGTATAGCCTAAAGCTTCAAAGCTAATAAATTTCAACTAACTTTGATCGGTATTTAATTAAGTGCCCATTAAGGAATATTCAACGCCAACATGATGCTTCTTTATATATATCACAATTTTATTTATGCATCACGAATCACATGGAAAATAAAAAAATATAACGTATTCCGTCCGTTTAAAAAAAGAATGACCTCTTTCTTTTTTAGGTAACATTTTCACTTTTGCTTTCCACGTGGTATGTTTAAGACCACAAGATTAAAGGAGAATTTTGTACATTCGGCATAACTTTAATTTTATACCACTAGATTCAAAAATCTTCCTTATTTACTTAAGCTCTGTGCCAAGTCAAACCAGACCATTCTTTGTGAAACGGAGGGAGTAATAAATTTTTTAAAAAAGGGTTTACGTTGCTTTGAACTTCAAAAGTCCTATACCTTAATTCTACACAGATAAAAGCTAACCAATTTCATCCAATATATATATATGAAAATGTTGAAGGGAATTCATAAAGTGGAAAAAAATTGTGTATATAACAAATGGCAAAGTCCATGGTATTGCTTCTGATCATGGCTTTATCTTATTTTACATCTATAGCAAATTCACAGGTGAAGAACATCTTCTTACTAGCTGGACAGAGCAACATGTCCGGCCTAGGAGGTGTTGTGAAGAACATATGGGATGGTATCGTTCCGCCGGAGTGTAGCCCTAATCCGGCCATCCTTAAACTTGATGCCAATCTTCAATGGGTGAAGGCAACTGAACCTTTACATGCAGATATTGACGTGAATGTTACTTGTGGGATTGGTCCAGGTATGTAGAGACGGATTTATAAGGAGTTAAATTAAACTCAAAGCTTTCGGCTCGAATCATATATGTAGTTGTCAGTATGAGCTAGTCCGATCCGTCATGGCTAACCAATATGAATTTTGGAATTTGATGGGATAGGTCTGACCCACTATTTTGATGGGCCAAAAACATCAAGTCTAAGCCAACACTAAATGGGCTGCAACTGGGGACCCATGCATTAGAATTTTAATGTTTACATAAATATCTTGAAGATAATATTACCAAGTGTTTCTTTTCAAATATCTTGAGATGTCATAAATCAACAATATACCTCCCTTCGTGAGAAAAAAGAAGAAGAGAACACACTAATGTTTTTTTTTTTTTAAAAAAGTTGTGTACGTGTATAAATAGATTAGACTCGCTCCGGACATACTAACTATAAATTCTAGATTCGTCTATGCAGGTATGCCCTTTGCAAATTCTTTGTTGAACAAAACTTCATGTTTTGGGATAGTAGGGCTGGTACCATGCGCGATGGCGGGGAACAAAATAAGTGAATGGCAAAAGGGGACTTTCCTTTACAATCAGCTGGTGATGAGAGCCAAGGCTTCTACAATGCAAGAATATGGGATAATTAGAGGTATGCTATGGTATCAAGGGGAGAGTGACACAATGAGCCAGAGTGATGCAAATTCTTATAAAGAAAAAATGCAACAATTTTTCACTGACTTGAGAAATGATGTTGGAATACCAGAGCTTTTGATTATCCAGGTAAACTTTAATGCTACAATCTCTCCGTTTTAATTTGTTTGTCTGGTTTGAATAAGTAAATATTTTTTTTTTGTTCAAACTTGTGTAGGTGGCTCTAGCTTCAGGAGGAAAACATTACACAGAAATAATAAGAGAAGCACAGTTAAATCCTGGCATTGCTAATGTAGTAACTGTTGATGCCAAGGGCTTGCAGTTGCAAAAAGACAATTTACACCTTACTGCTTCTTCACAAGTTCTTCTAGGACAAATGATGGTTGATGCTTTTCTTGAGACAATCTTAACCACAACCTCATCTATTAATTGTTAATAGTGAAACAATAATATTTCAATTTAAGTGCTATCTAGGTCATATCATCATGTTTATCTTTAGATTTATATATGTATTAGTTTCTAAATACGTGTCAATTAGACTTCTAGATACATATGATATCAAATTATATGTGAAAATTGTTAGAACCGAAATAAGCAGGTGTAATGCGGAAGCTAGCAAAATAAATCTCGAAAAATCATAAGTAAGAAGACAAACGAGAATAATACCAAAAGACACAGAGATTTAATGTGGTTCAGTCAATCGACCTACATCCGCAAAGGAGATGAACAATGCACTATAAATGTGAGAGTACAAAATACAGAGAGAAACAACCTTGAAAGAAAAGCTCTATCAATGAGCTTTTAAGAAGATGAAGAAGAGAAGAGAGAAGAAACGAGAGAATGATGAAGAAGAAGATTTGTATATATCAGTATTGTTTACATATGAGCCCTCATCCTTATATATACAATTACATTTATGTATTAAAGAAGCTACTTTATTTAACTAACTTATATTTAACTAACTAACTAACTACCTAACTAACTAACAAACTGAAATATTAAAAGAGTACATGTTTAGTTTATAAGCTCTCTTAACACTCCCCCTCAAGCTAAGAATTGAAAAATACATTTTTCATTCCTAGCTTGTTAATCAGTTCTTCATGTTGAGGTTTGCACTGCCCTTGTTAAGTATATCAGCTTGTTGTTCTCTTGTTCCTAAGTGTTGTGTCTGAATAAGCCCTTCAAGTATCTTCTCTCTTACAAAATGACAATCTATGTCAAAATGTTTAGTTCTTTCATGAAAAATTGGATGTGCTGCTATTTGAATAGCAGCTTTGTTATCACAAAATACCTTTACTGGCAACTTTATTTCCATTCCTAACTCTCTGAATAAGCCTTTCAACCACACTATTTCAGCAACTGTAGTGGTCATACTCCTGAATTCTGCTTCTGCAGAGCTCCTAGATACTGTGCTTTGTTTCTTTGACTTCCAAGATACAAGTGCTCCTCCTAGTTTAATCATATAACCAGTAACTGATCTTCTTGTTTCTACACAAGCCCCCCAGTCTGAGTCACAATAGGCTACCATTTCATTGTCTTTGTTACTTGGCATAAACAATCCAAGACCTACAGTTCCTTTTATATATCTAACTACTCTGAGTGCTGCTTCCATATGAGATGATTTTGGTGAGTGCATATATTGGCTGAGTACTTGTACTACAATGGCTATATAAGGCCTAGTCATAGTTAAGTATAATAACTTCCCTATCAACCTTTGATATTTTCCAAAGTCATCAAGAAGTAAGTCTTCTACATTAGCATTTTCCCCAATGAATTCATCAAACACAGTGGAAGTTAGCTTGTGATTGAACTCCAAGGGTGTAGAAGAAGGCTTACAACCTGCTAATCCCAACTCAGACACAAGTCCTAAAGCATACTTCCTTTGATTCATTAGTATACCTTCCTTAGACCTGGAGAATTCAATTCCAAGAAAATATTTAAGCTCACCAAGATCTTTCATTCTGAACCTTTGTTGTAACTCCTCTCTTATTTGTTGTATATGATGTAAACTGCTCCTAGTAACCAGTAGATCATCAACATATACCAAGATGACTAGAAGTTCTTTACCTATGTTCTTAGTAAACAATGAATAATCATAATGTGACTGTGAAAATCCCATATCAACTAAAGCCTCTGTTAGCTTTAAGTTCCACTGCCTTGGTGCCTGCTTCAGTCCATACAAGGACTTATGAAGCTTGCAAACCATGCTTTTATTGCTTTTCTCCCCCTGGTTTGCAAAACCTTCAGGAATCTGCATACACACTTCTTCAGGAAGATCTCCTTGAAGGAAAGCATTGTGTACATCCATTTGAAATATAAACCAGCCATATGAAGCAGCTAAAACCACTACTGATCTTACTGTAACCATTTTTGCTACTGGTGAGAATGTCTCAGTATAGTCTAAGTCTTCCTTTTGATTGTATCCTTTTGCCACTAACCTGGCTTTATATCTCTCAACTTCTCCAGATGCTTTATACTTAACCTTAAACACCCACTTACAGCCAATAGGAACTTTTGTTGGAGGTAGAGGAACAATAGACCAAGTATTATTGTCTTCTAGAGCATTAATCTCTTCTCTCATAGCATTCACCCAATGAGTATCTTGACATGCTTCTTTATATGTATGAGGTTCAGAGATAGTAGAATATGCAGCAAGTGATGCTCTATATGTAGGAGCTAGTTTGGAATAAATAACATATTGTGACATAGGATATAAACATGCATTTTGTGCACTTTGAGTCACATATGAGTCCAACCAAATAGGTGGCTTAGATTGTCTAGAAGATCTTCTTAGAGGAACTAATGGTGTTGTAGTATTAGAGGAAGTCTGAGGCTGTATAGAAGTTGTAGGATTAGAACTTTGAATAGAGATATTATCAGAAGCTGACTCAATATATGAACTATCATGAAGATCCAGAACAGGAAACAAATGGTCTGGAAAGGATTTAAGATTCTTGAAAGGAAATATGTCTTCTTTAAACACAGTGTCTCTGCTTATAAAGAAGGATTTGCAAGTCAAATTATACAAGATATAACCTTTCTTGTTTATTGAGTACCCCATATGCACAGCTGGAACAGCTCTAGGTGCAAACTTGTCTAGAATCTTAGGATCTGTAGCATAGCATAGACTCCCAAATACTCTAAGATGCTGAAGACTAGGAGCTTGTCCAAACAATTTTTCAAAAGCACTCTGTCCTTGTAACAACACAGTAGGTAATCTATTTAGTATGTATACAGCAGTAGTAACACAAAATCCCCAAAACTGTAAAGGTACACCAGCCTGAAACCTTAGTGCGCTTGCCATGTTAAGAATAGACCTATGTTTTCTCTCAACTACTCCATTCTGTTGAGGAGTATACACACATGAACTCTGATGTATAATGCCATTAGCCTTGAACAAATCATCCATTTGATTATTAACAAACTCTGTTCCATTGTCTGTTCTTATACACTTAATCCCTACACCAAACTGATTTCTTACCAGGTTTACAAAGTCTTTTAACACTACCACAGCATCTGACTTAGTGTGTAATAGAAAAATCCAAGTATACCTGGACATATCATCTACAAGTGTTAAGAAATATCTTTTACCATCATGATTAGGCACTCTGTAAGGTCCCCATACATCACCATGTATAATGTCAAAAACTGAAATTGAATGAGAAAGACTAGTAGGAAAAGGCAGTCTTGATTGCTTGGCAATTGGACATATAGAACAATGATACTCATGTACAGATACAATGTTCAATTCCTTTATTCTACTTAACACTTTGAGAGGAGCATGTCCAAGTCTTTTATGCCATAGACTACTTAAAGAATCAGCAGTAGAATTAAAACTAATAGGCCTAATTCTTTTATATGCAGCTTCCTTTGCACATTGTTCAGAAGATACTTGATCATTTGAAGGCTTTGTTGTGACAGCATTATTGAGGATATACAATCCTTGATTCTCTTACCAATCCCCAGTACCCTCCCATTGAAGAGATCCTGAAAAATACAAAAATCAGGAAAAAATACTACTGCACACTTCAACTATTTTGTTAGTTGTGACACTGATAGAAGATTATACTTGAATTCTGGAACAAACAACACATCCTTTACTACTTTATCTTTAAGAATCAAAGATTCACCAATATGACTAATAGACACCTGATCACCAGTAGGTAAATTAACTCTCATACCACCCTGAACATCAAGATTTGTTGACTGACTCATTAAACCAAAGTTGTGAACCATATGATTGGAGGCACCTGATGTTCCAGATACACCTGCAGTAGCTACATTGGCCATTGTATCCACTTCCTTACTCTTTCCTTTTCTCAGCATCTGCAAGATCTCATAATATTGTTCTTGAGTAAACATTGATACACCCTGTCCTAAAGTAGTATCATTAGATGACTTATTTGTTCTAGCATTAGAACCTGAAGTTGAGTCAATCATTCCAGACTCATTGCCAGTAGAAGCATTATTTGCATAAGAAGATACTCCTCCTTTCTTCTTTGGATAACCATGAAGCTTATAACAGGTTTCTTTTAGTATGACCTTTATAATGACAAAATTCACAGTAGAGTTGAGACTTTCCTTATTTCTATATCCATTATTTTGGAAGTTAGAAATACCTCTTCCTGTTCCTGAGGAAGTTGTATTATTGTTATAGTATCCACCATTTCCTGAATTAGAAGAACTAAGAGGCATTCTATTACTCATCAAAGCTGTTTCAGACACGGCTTCTGCAGATGAAAATGTATTTCCTATACCATGAACTCTTTGACTCTCAACACTAACAATCATAGCATAAGCCTGATTTACACTTGGAACTGGAATCTGCATAAGAACTTGGCTTCTTGCATGAGCATTAGACTCATTAAGTCCCATCAGAAACTGCCACAACTTTTGAAATTGCAAATGTTCTATGTATTGTTTAGACTCAGGAAAGGCACATGAAGGACAAGGAATCAAAGTTTCAGCCTCATCCCACAACTCTCTTAGTCTTGAAAAATAGATTGACATAGAAGAAGTTCCTTGTGACATAGTGACTAATTCCTTGTGAAGATAAAAAGCCCTAGATGCATTTACTTTATCAAATCTTTCACGTAGATCTTCCCATACTGAATGAGCATCAGATCCATAGATTACTGTACTAATCACACAGTATTCATAATCCATCCAAGAACAATTGCATTGCATCTATCCCATACATCATGTAAGCATTCAGAATACATTTCCTTTTTACATGTTCCAAGTAGAAATCCTAACTTGTTTTTTCCAAGTAACACAAGTTTTAAAGATTTGCTCCACAAAGAATAGTTTTCAGAACCCACTAATTGAATTGAAATTAGAACAGAACCTTAAGTATCTGAAGGATGTATAAAGAGAGGGTGATTGTGATCGATTTTGGCTGTATTTGTAACTGTTTGTTGTTGAACTTCACTTGAAGCTCCATCTCCAGTTGAAGGCATGATTGATTGAGTTTAACAGCTCCCAATTTCTCGATTTTGACAGACAATTGATCTTCAATTCAAGATTCTTTAAACTCTTGTCTTCAGATTATGAAGAGCTAAACAGAGAGATTCAATTTCTCCTGCGCTCTGATACCATGAAAGAAAAGCTCTATCAATGAGCTTTTAAGAAGATGAAGAAGAGAAGAGAGAAGAAACGAGAGAATGATGAAGAAGAAGATTTGTATATATCAGTATTGTTTACATATGAGCCCTCATTCTTATATATACAATTACATTTATGTA